GTTCAATTAGATTGAACCCTAGCCAGCGATGAGGGCGTATCCCCATACTTCGGTTTGGGTGCTGGCATGGAATTCAAATTTCACTTCTTTTTATTTTGTGGTTTTGGTTTCCGTTCCATCTTTACACTTGCCTGATGCGCTTAGAGACTTTTTGTATTTTGCGCTCTATAAATTAATAACCATTAACCATTATATATATTTAGCTCTGGTTTCATTACCATTGAATACTCTGTTGGTGATATTTAATTGCTACACGTTCAACTGTATTTTATTCAAACATCTAAAAGTAAACAGCAATTATACATAAAATGAACATATGTAAGTTAAGAATATGATTAACATAAAAAAAACAGAACATTAGAACAGAACTCGTATAGTGCAGCACTGCAGCAGGTGTAGGTGGAACAATTTTGGCCAAAATATGTCCTGGCCGAGCCAATATTAACCAAGGAGGACTGATTTTTGCTGGCCAAAATCGCCCCCCCACCCCGGACCGATTTTACCTTGGACCAATTTTGTGACAGGTCCTACCAATTTTTCTAATTACTGTTTAATATTTGTTTAAATATTTGATCAAAAATATAATGGAATGAAAGAAATTATCTTATCTAATTAAGGCCAATTGGATTTAAATGTTTATGTTGGTTTATTAGATGAAATAAACAATTTCAATTTCTTTGAAATAACTTTAAATTTACTGTAAATAAAAGGTATTTTGTAATGAACTAACTAATCAGTTAGAAGGAATCTCTATTTTGATAATTTTATAGGAACCACTGATGATGCCTTCAGACAGCTGTTGTCAGTTATTTCAGAATGGTATGACCAGCATGGATACATCAATATGCTGAAAGTTTTGTACAGAGATCTCTTGAAAAACAATTATGAGTTGAATAAGGCTACCAAGGTGATGGACCTAATGAATTTGTTGATTGCTTCTGGGGATTTACACTCAACCCATTTAAGTCTTCTATATGATACCATAAACATAACAAAGCAGTATGGATTGGAAAGAAAAATTCAAGATGTACTGCCAGTATATCAAATTGGTAAAGTTGTAGAAATCTCAGAATTCACACATCATCGACGAAAAGTTATGAAGCTTGGAATGGTACTGATTGATGAAGATATAAATAAGATCAGTGCATTATATAACAAACCAGTAAAGGAATATGCAGACACATGGAGTTTGATTATGGATCTAGAGCAGAAAAGGGAAATTGGTGAAGGAAAAATGGATGCCTTCATTGAAATATTGGATAACCTTAAACTCCAATACGCTGTGGAAGCTTTAACTGAAGGTATGCAATCTATGAATGCCAGAGAAAGCAAAGCAAATTGACTTAGACAATTACCAGGGGATGTAGACAGGAGGTGGGGTTCTTCAACCCCTCAACTTTACCACCATTACCAAAAAAAAAAACATGATTAAAGTTTGTAGGAAAAGTAAATTAGGAATGTTAAATATTCAATGGTGTTCCCAAAAGTTGAATAGGGTGGCTAGCATCCCCAATTACCTTTCCCAGAATAGGTGGAGTTCTTCAACCCCTCAACTTACTACCATTAAAAAAACATATATGATTAAAGTTTGTAGGAAAAGTCAATTAGGAATTAGTGAGCCTTCAATCAGTTAATAATCTTGTTAAATATCCAATGGTGGACCTACAAGTTGAATAGGGTGGCTTAGCAATCTCCAATTACCTTTCTTGAATAAAATGCTAACCAGGGGTCTGAGGTCTCCTGGAACTCACAGGATCATTTTGGAAATCAAGATGACATTCCGCAATCCCGCAAGCAAGCAAGATTCTCCCGGAAATAACCCTCCACCCACAAATTCATAATATTTGCATGTTTTCAATATTTTATTATCAATTGTTTAATGGTATTCATCGCCAATGGGTATTACGATGTGTGATTTAATAAAATTAAATGTGTTAACAAAGTCATTATCAACTGCAGATCAGTGGATGTTTCAATGGCAGGTCCTTAGCCAGCTTCAGTCAAGGGGGGTTCAGGGACCAGGGGACCAGGGGAGAACAGTAAAAACACTGAAATTAAGTAAATTTAAACGTCAATATTATTGTAAAAACAAAAAAGTAGAATTTTTTTCAGCTAGAAATCAATCTTACAAATACTCTAATACTACTATACAATAATAGTACTGTAATGTAATTGTTTAGTCACAAAGCGACCGTTTGCTTGTCAAAGGGGGTTTTTGCGAACCCCAAGCAACCCCTGGCTACGGCCTTGAAAGGTTGGGGAAGGGGATACAGTGGCTATGTGCACTAATATTTTTTTTAATTATTAAAACAAATTTGGAAAAAAGCATTTCCAGCCTTCTAGAGGTGCCATCATAAATTTTCTTACTCAGTCCCAACTATGATGGTGGGGTTAAGGTGGTAGGCCTAACCCACATCTGTGAAAGCCCCTCCCTGCCTTCCCCACCCCCTCTAATATGAGTTAATGGATCAGCCACTGTAGATCAGCCCCTGGAATTGAATTTTTCCAACTAGGGACCCCTGGGAAATTGTCTTTGGTGAAGTTGCCTTGTAAGAGTACATATGGTTTATTTTTTCAAATAATAAATGATGGTAAAAGAAAGTTTTTTTTTTAAACAAAACCAAAGATAACTTACTTCCAGTTTCTAGTATCCTGGACGATACCATTCTTATAATTGTTGGTAGATGCTTCTTTCTGGTTGGATGAATCATGGCTGTTGATCGTGTCAAAAGATGATCGTATAATATGTGACTTTTCTAAGTCGGTCAGAATTCATCACACTAAAAATTATATATTTATTGTTATCTACAAGCCTGAGGAACTCATCAAAGATGGTAAAAAGCAGTTGCAAAGTACTCAGGATGCGAAACAGCTGCAGCAGATATAAAAAGATTCCAGTTTACATAAATTTTGATTAATACAACATGTCTGCCATCTACAGTACATGGAAAATGATACTCCTCTACTGTTTCATAGTTCATTTAACCATAGATTTGTATAATATTTTTATATTCCATAATCTAGAAGATAATATTGTGTACTCAAACCAACTGTCAATAGTGGATGTCATAATTCTTATTTTAATTCTACAGTACAGATATAGTTGATGACGGACCATCTTCAAGTAGCTTGTATCCTGAATTGTTTAATGATATATTAATATTAACATAGTACAGGTTTATATATTATTTTTATATTTTATTTTAAGGAACTACTGTGCAAGTAAACCTCAAGCAGAAAGAAATATCTACTGATTCTGAAGATCAACCACATTTAAAAAAAAATATGGATGCTCTTAGATATTTAAAGAAACTTTATGAACATAGAGGCACTCTAACAGCAGAGGATATACCAGAATTTGCTAAGACACATGAGAAACTTATGGAATATTATGAAAAAAAAGGTCTAAATCTGACGAAGGTTGGAAATGGTTAATAGAATTTTATCTATCAACAAATGATCCTAATGCTTTGATGCATCTATGGCAGGGCTCGATTTAGGGAGTAGGCCCATATCCAGAACGGCCGCCAATGCGTGTATATGTATGGAACACCGATGACGCATTCACAATGAATAATACAATACCGCTCGCTAAATACAAAGCTTTCGAGTCAACTAGGCCCCAGTCAACTCGGCCCAGCAGGTTAACTCGGCCCTCGTTTTCATTTTATATATAGTGTGTAGGCCTAAAACTACTTAAAAAATAAGTATTAAAAAAAATTAATAAATTGAAGTCACATTAAGAATTGTAAACATCATGAAAATATAATAAAACCATTGCTCCAATCAAAACGTTCGATAGATTGAAGTTCTTCTCCAATAAAGTATGGTATTCGTTTCTTATTATTATTATATATATAGCTAGTTTGGATTTTATCTATTATATCATAATTTATATATAGGCCATATATATGATATTCATTTCTTAATTATTTATACTCAAAATATGTACACGATTCATGCTATCGATTTAATCGTTTGTTACTCAATAAAAAGCAACAATAGAGAGTAGTAGGGTTAAAAGTTAACGTTACCACGGAGACGTTAATTGATATATTTTGTCTTATCTGATGAAGCAAGCATGTTCATTGTCTAGCCAGAGTGAGTTGGTAACTCCCTATTTCAGTAGTTGTGTAACGAAAACATGTTGTTAGAAATCGTGTATGAGAAAACATTTACTGAAAAAATAGAATAGGCCCTATGCCAGTTTACAAAACAAGACCTTATTATGTTCTTGAAAGAACGTATGGCGAAATGCTTTATTATTAAGATTGATTGTTTTACGAAGTAGTTTAGCATAATTTTTTGTTAAGAAGTGTTTATTTTATCCTGCAAAATAAACTTTATTGCTTTAATAGAAGAAATTTAATTTAACTATAGCTGTAACTTATCAAGAAACTTGATTTGTATCTTGGAATAAAGTATATAATATAATTAATTAATCCTGCATTATAATTATATATGTACGATTAAGCAAGCGTACCTATTGCAAGATGATTATACGTTCCAGGTACAAAGCAGGCCCGTAGCCAGGGGGGTTTTTAGGGGTTCGGGCAAACCCTCCTTTTGCCAGCGAACCCCCTTAGCCAAAATAGTGCAATTTATTATAAAATGGGAGCATTTTTGGCACTGTTTATTTGTCGCTATCGATCGTAGTCCGATCGTAGAAATCAAAACAAAACTGCAGCCAGCTGAATGACGTAACCAGCAAGACTTCAAAATGAATATTAATGAGAGGTTTGTTGCCTAGGCTATTTTACCAATCGCGTGCTCCGGAGTTTATTTACTTTGGCACGACGTCATCACAAAAGTTTGGGCGCTCGACATTTTTCATTTCTCTGGGATCGAGGACATGCGACACGCCAAAAATAGCCTAGGAGGATGAAGCGCCGAGAGGGTAGGGTCGTAGCCTATGAGGTCTATTATTTGCGAACGATTTTATTATTTATTTTGTAATCGAGCCTAGGCTAGCAAGGAAATATACTTGGTAATCTTTTCACGTTTCGTCAGAATTAACTGACATTATTCATAATAATATATTTATTATTTTTTCTCAATATATCTCATTTAAACCAA